CGTGGAAGCGCCGCAAACGCGCAGCCTCTGTCCGCAGTCCCCGCGTTAGACCTTGAAAGGAGACTGCGGCGAGCCAAAGGCTCCTCGGGACGGGGAACCAGGGCTCCTAAGGGGCGGGGCGGGTTTCCTGCTACCTCGGGGCCCTCCCAATTTAGGAAGCTATGCTCCGTATGTAATGAAGTTCTCATCTCTGTTCTGAGGGGCTGTTTGCCCAATTAATAAAAGATCATCAAAATATCAGAAGGACACTTTATAGAAAAAGGAAAATACATGAGAGTGCATGCATGCGTGTACTTGGCAGATTCGCACCAAGATGCTGTGAGCCCACGCGCGTGTGGATATAGGCCACAGACCAGTGGAAAGAGCCTCGTGCTCTTCCTCAGCCGGAGAGCAGTTTACGGGCGTGCTGGTTGATTCAGAGAGCACTGACGGAGTAGATCCTGGTAACAAATCATGCTGTCATGAAGACAGTGCTGAACCAAGAGATTTCTGGGGGGGAGGGGTTTCTGTTTTATCATTTCCAAAATGAAACTAACTACAGTGTTTGTGATGGATTTTCAGATGCTAAAATCTGTGGTTCATTGATTTTTTACTGTAGCGCTTGCTGTGGGGGAGGCAGCAAAGCAAAGAAACCGAAAGCACAGACTGGGTGTCCAGTCAGGGCCCAAAGGCCAGCACCACTGCCCAACCGGGTGTTTTGGGCGCCCACACCCACGTCTGTGGTTCTCCAAACACTGAGGCGCACTCAGTGTCCAAACTCACTGAGTGTCCAAACACTCAGTTCCACTCTGACACTATGTGCAGTTATTGCAGACCCCACAGGTTACCAGCTCAGACCCCCACACCTGGCCCATTTTGAGGTCAGTCGCAAGTGCTGGGCCACCTGCACTTCTGACTATGGACCATAAACTGGACAGTCCCCTGATCCCCTGTCCCCAGGCTCCATCCAACTGGAACAGCTCGCAGAAGTCAGGAACACTCCATATCCCCATTTCCTGCCTCATTATAAGGGATGTGACTCCGGAAAGCCAAGCAAAGTATCTGGGAGGGAAAGCATCCGTGCCCCCTCTGGGTGTGCCACCCTCCCCACCCTCCCTGCGTTCACCAGCCGGAGCTCCCCGAACACCCAACCTTGCTACGCACGGGTTTACACACAGTTCACTCACTGGCCTCTGCCCTTTCCAGCTTCTTAATGTTTATAACAAGCACGTAGGGCCGACTGAGGACAAGACAGTTGTGCCTACAGTTTTTCTACCATGATTGGACAGTGGGCGCTCAGCCGTGGACTGCATTAAATGACATATGCACCGATTAAAGGAGGTGATGGTCCCACTGTGTTGGGCTCTACAGACCTCTTCTGGGCTGCTTTTATGGAGTTCTGAGCATCCTGTTTTCATAGGAATGTGGAAAAATGACCAGTGACCGCTAGAGGGCAAGCTGATGATAAAAGGTCAGCAGGTCTGGACTCCAAAACATGTTTACCTGGAGAATAGGCAGCAAAACACATGATAAAAGCCCCCAAATATTACATTCAGTTTGTAAAGATCCAGACAGCAGACCCCTGACCAGTGGTGGCTATTTCAGGAAGGTTGATTTCTTTTTTTTTTTTAAATTTCATTTATTTATTCATGAGAGACACAGAGAGAAAGAGGTAGAGACACAGGCAGAGGGAGAAGCAGGCTCCATGCAGGGAGCCGGTCATGAGACTCCATCTGGGTCTCCAGGACCATGACCTGGGCCGAAGGTGGCGCTAAACTGCTGAGCCACCAGGGCTGCCCAGGAAGGCTGATTTCTTAGCCCTTAGTGGAAGCCCAGCACACACAGAGGAAACTGCTCGCGTCTTAGAAGTCCAGCTTGAAGAATTGTCTCCAGGTGACATGCTGACTAAGCACCACCCAAACCAAGAAACGCAGCATTAATACCCAGAAACCTCCCAGCCCTCTCTGCGATACTGCCTAGTGGTATCACAAAGTGATTTTTGAAATTTATATTCCTTTTTTGAGGTTTTATTATTTATTTGACACAGAGAAAGAAAGTGAGAGAGAGAAAAAAACGAAAGGGCACAGGCAGGGAGAGCAGCAGGCAGAGGGACAAGCAGGCTCCCCGCTGAGCAGGGAGCCTGTCATGGGGCTCGACCCCAGGACCCCAGGATCATGACCTCAGCCCAAGGCAGCTGCTTCACTGACTGAGCCCCCCAGGTGCCCCTAAAATTTCTATTCTTAGCATCAGTGTATGTAAGTTCCAGGTGCTCATATCCTTACCAATCCTTGTTTGCCTGTCTTCCTCATTGTACCTATTTCACTAAGTGTGCAGAGCTACTCGTGGTCGTTTTATTTTTTTTTTAATTTTTATTTATTTATGATAGTCACAGAGAGAGAGAGAGAGAGAGAGAGAGAGAGAGAGAGAGAGAGAGAGGGGCAGAGACACAGGCAGAGGGAGAAGCAGGCTCCATGCACCGGGAGCCCGACGTGGGATTCGATCCCGGGTATCCAGGATCCCGCCCTGGGCCAAAGGCAGGCGCCAAACCGCTGCGCCACCCAGGGATCCCCTCGTGGTCGTTTTAATTTCACTTCTGCGGAGAGTAATACTGAGCATCATTCTGTTTATTGCCCATTTTCTTATTCTCTTTTGTGAAGTGTCAGGACAAGTCTTTTGTCCATTTTTCTACTGAGTTACCTTTTTCTTGTTTATTGTAGCAGCTGTTTATATATTCTGGAAGTGAGTCCTTTGTTGGATATATGTTCTGCAAACACCTCAGGGAGGTAGACCTCAGTCTGATATATTAATGGAAGAATCCAAAGAGAACACAGGTGGCCACAAATTAGAGATACCGAGCTGCCCTGCACTGGGAGGACGGCCCAGATACTAACATCCACACACTGGGTAACATTCTATGGTTAATCCAACCATGTCCATATCCTAGACTTCCTTTGAACCTTTGTACAACCTGGCTAGATAATACTGATATCTGCTCATTTTTTATTTTTTTTAAATATTTTATTATTTATTCATAGAGACACACAGAGAGAGAGAGAGAGAGAGAGAGAGAGGCAGAGTCACAGGCAGAGGGAGAAGCAGGCTCCATGCAGGGAGCCCGATGTGGGACTTGATCCCAGGTCTCCAGGATCATGCCCCAGGCTGCAGGCAGCCCTAAGCCGCTGCGCCACTGGGGCTGCCCTCTGCTCATTTTGTAAATTCCTGTTGTATTTTTAAGGCCAGCTGGCCTCCTAGGCATGGCCCTTGGTCCCTAAGGCTCTGTGCTCGCTGAATGACTAAACTAGTAAGGCTTCATCCTTTTGCTGATGGATCTGTGTGAAGGTTGGGGAACTCAAAGTTTAGGCCAAAGCTGCCCCAGTGTTTCCCTTCTGCATGTGCAAGGAAGGCCTCATGTTCAGCCAGGGGTAGGTAGACTGCTAGGAACCCGCCCAAGGCTTTCATGAGCAAGCATGTCACTTTACATCTACATAGCCCTCCAGACTACCAAAAATAATGTGGAAGTCCATTCAAATACCCAAGCCCATTATGGCTGCCATGCTCCCCAGATCTTCCTGTAAATCTCTGGCTGTTCTGTTGCTTGTCCTGATCAGAATCCCCACCTCAGCCAAGCTGTGATGTTGGCCTTCCCTGAAGCCACAAAGATCACTGTTTTTTTTTTTTTTTTTTTTTTTTTTAAGATCACTGTTTTTTGACAATACCCCACGCATGGATTTTTCCAAGTTCTGCTCCTCTGGTAGTGAGGTTGCAGGTCCTCACCACCTATCTGCCTTGCACTGCTGGAGCTATTGCTCCCTGGAGCTCAGGGGGCTATGGCAGCTGCTCCAGGCCCGTATGCCATGGATTCCACCATTTTCACCAAGACTTAGTAGGTTTTTTTGAATAAACGCGTCTCAATCCGTTGCATGCCTTTGGTCAATTTCCAGCGCTGAGATAGCTGTTTCCACAGTGTTTCCCATTGCATCGATGCCCTCTGCAAAGGGAGCAAGTCCCCACTAGTCAGGACAGAGATACAGGGCAGAGGGTCCCAAGTGCCATCTTGGGGGCTGGCTGTCCTCACCTCTCATCCAGGTCACTATGATCACTCCTTAACTGAGTCTGTTCTCAACACAGCAGCCAGCAACCCTCTTGCATCTTATGTCGCTCTTCTGCTCAAAACCCTGTAACAGGTTTTCATGGCCGAGTAAAAGCCAGTGTTCCCCATGGCTCATCTGACACTCACTGCCTTTTTTTTTTTAATTTTTTTTAATTTTTATTTACTTATGATAGTCACAGAGAGAGAGATAGAGGCAGAGACACAGGCAGAGGGAGAAGCAGGCTCCATGCACCGGGAGCCCGACGTGGGACTCCATCCCGGGTCTCCAGGATCACGCCCTAGGCCAAAGGCAGGCGCCAAACCGCTGCGCCACCCAGGGATCCCACTCACTGCCTTTCTGATGAGTTTTCCAGCACCTCCCCTCACTCACTCCGCCCCAGCACAAATGCTATGCCTCAGGGGCACTAATCAGATTCCTGTCCCAGGGCCCTTGCACAGGCTCTTACCTCCATCCAGGATGTTTCTGCCCAGAGAACCATATGGCTGGTTAATTCAAGTATCAGCTGCTCAAACTGATCTCGGAGCACTCCCGCCATCTCCTGCTTTATAGCAGCACTCGACAAATCACCTCGTTTCCTCTACCAGAACATAAGCCCCACAAAAGCAGGACGTTCGCTCTGTTCTTGCTCAAGTTACACGCAAGGTAAATATTTGTTAATGTCTAAACAAGTGGGCTAATTAAAATGGCTGTTAGGCCCAGTTCTGCCCTATTGATATGGTGAATTATGTACATGAGAGAAAGGTAAGCCACAATGGACATCTGAATGGATGGGGGGCAGGTGGGAGGGAAGAAACTATTAATAGATGAACAAGAAAGGGCCATGTGGGGTAAGTCAGGAAAAGAACTGTGTGACATGAAATAAATCATTCAGATTTGCAAGTCTATCAAGTCTAAAAAAAGGCACGAAGTTTAATTTGAAGGAACAACGTTACATAGAATTATACAAACTCAGAAATAAAGGAGGTTGATCCATGAGTTGAAAGGAACAGACAAAAAAAAAAAAAAAAAGAAAGAAAGGAAGGAAGGAACAGACCAGAATGCTGTAGTTAAAAACATTAAAAGACTGAGAAAAAATACATTAACATTGATGAAACTACGGTGGAAGCTTTTCGGGGCATGCCCTCCGCATGGGATGAATGTTTCGGGGCAGCACATGATGGAAGGACAGGATCTCCCGGATCTTGTCCTGGCAAATCTTGTTTGCTGCTACCCCTGCTTCAAACTCTCTGCGTTCCTCTTCCTTCTGTGCTTCCCGGGCCTGCTGCTGGTAGGACATTTGCATCTGAAGTTGCTTCCTATACTCCTGGGCCAAACTGGAGCGCCTGTGGTATTAGAAAGGTCCAAGTGCAAAATTGTCAAAGCAAGCGTTTGGATTCAAGTAGGGCATTACAATTACAATGTAACTTTTGAAGCCAAATTAAAATTCCCATTAAAATCAGGATAAGGGGGAAAAATAGATGGAAAACTCAATAATGTATTTATTATACAATGTAATTAAGATAAAAAGGACAAATATTGATTTTAGGGAGGGTGCTTCTGGCCCACTCAGAATACTTCCTGCTGTCTGGAATGAGTCCTTGGCTTCTCTCCATCTCCTCTCCCACTCTTCTCCAAGGAAGAAGTGACTTTCCTGCTGGTAAAACCAGGAACTGGCTAGTCTGTTTATCAAAGGGCCACAGCGGGAGAGAGCTGGAGCTGGTGGGCAGAGCTGGAGCTGGTGGGCGCTGTGGGGACTGGGTGGGTGAGTGTGCCTCATTCTGTTCAGTATGAACTACACAATTTCCTCCCTACAGAAGCCATATTTTATTATTATTTTTTTAATAAATTAATTTTTATTGGTGTTCAATTTACCAACATACAGAATAACACCCAGTGCTCATCCCGTCAAGTGCCCCCCCTCAGTGCCCGTCACCCATTCACCCCCACCCCCCGCCCTCCTCCCCCTCCACCACCCCTAGTTCATTTCCCAGAGTTAGAAGTCTTTATGTTCTGTGTCCCTTTCTGATATTTCCCACACATTTCAGAAGCCATATTTTAAACATATAAACCACATTTTAAATTTTATAGCGTTTTTTGTTTTTTGTTTTGTTTTTTGTTTTTTGTTTTTACTGTGGTAAAAGACACATAATGTAAAACTGACGACTTAAGGATCTGTAAGTGCATAGTTCAGTAGCGTTCAGGACATTCACATTGTCGTGAATCAGATCTCCGGGATTGTCCTCCTGCAAATCTGAAACATTATACCCATTAAACAGCAGCCTCCTTTGCCACCATTCAATTTGCTGTGTTATAAATTTGACTACTTTAGGGATCTCATATAAGCTAAATCACATAGCCCTTGTCTTTTTGTGACTGGTTTATTTCACTTCACACAACGTCCTCAAGGTTCATGCATGAGGTGGCATCTGACAGGACTTCCTTCCTTTTACGGCTGAATAATATCCTGCTGTATGTATATATCACACTTGGTTTATCCATTCATGTGTTAATGGACATTTGGGTTATTTCCATCTCCTGGCCATTGTGAATAATGCTGCTATGAACATGGCTATTATGTAAAAATCTTCTTCAAGGTCCAGCTTTCAATGATTTTGGATATATATACCCAGATATGGGATTGCTAGATCACATGGTAGTTATATTTTTAACATTTTTTAAAGGATAGTGGTTTTTTTTGTTTTGTTTTGTTTTAAAGATTTATTTATTTACTCAGAGAGAGAGAGAGAGAGAGAGAGAGAGAGAGAAAGGCAGAGACACAGGCAGAGGGAGAAGCAGGCTCCATACAGGAAGCCCGATGTGGGACTCGATCCCGGGTCTCCAGGATCACACCCCAGGCTGCAGGAGGCGCCAAACCGCTGCGCCACCGGAGCTGCCCTATTTTTAACATTTTGAGGAAACTTCATACTGTTTTCCATAGTGGTCATGCCATTTTACAATCTAGAAGCCACATTTTCTATTATCAGCTCTCATCAGAAAAAAAAAAAAGCATCCCTATGCCTCTGCGGCAGATTCCATTTTGTAAATATGGTCAGTAAGGTCTCCCTTTCCATATGTTCTTCTGCCATGTGACCCTCTATTCCCCTTCTGTCTCCATCTCCTTGAATCTGGATAGGCCCAATGACTATTTTTATGACCAACAGAATATGACAAAAGTTATGCTATCCTGTCCTAGGGGTGGCCCTTACCTGGCCTGGCTTCCTGTCTATTGGAACTCTCCCTGTCAGAACCAGCCACCAGACTGTGAGAAGCCCCAGCACATGGAGAGGCTCTAGGAAGGTGTTCTGGGTGAGAACACCAGGTGAGTTCCCTGGCTATGGTCTGCACATACTGCCAGCTAAGTAGTTATCTTAGGTGTTGAGGGCAGTTGAGCCGTCAGACGAATGTAGCCCTGGTCAACATCAGACTTGAACCACATGAGGGACCCCATAACTCACTTTAAGGCACAACTTTTAAGCTATTCTGTTATGCACCTTTAGGTAGCTATGATACCTTCCACACGTACTTGTTTTTCTTCTCTCTCAGTTGATTCAGAAGTTGGGCAGGGAAGCATGTTGCTATTCATCAAGTCGTCCCCCACCTCCACCACATCTCCAACAATAAACTTTTTAAAAATGAGAAAGAAAGACCTCCAGAGCAGACAGTAGCAGAAAGTCAGTAGGGTGGGCCAGAAATTATTGTTAGTGCCCCCAAACTAACAATAGGCTCAGTTATATGAACCATACTCTTTCTAGAATGAAAAGGGCTTATTTCTATGTACCACGTAGGTGTAAACAGGAAGGGTGACCAGAGGAGCCCAGTCTTCTTCCTCTACCACACTGGTCATCTGAATTGGGTATCTTAGTCATCGGGGGAAAGGAGTGCTATGGTCCAAGAAATGTTGCATCTGCCCATTTCCTCCTCAGAGCCTGACTCTGGTGATCAGAGGGACCCCTGTTAGAGGAGGGCAGGGCTATTTCCAAAGCGCTAGAACATTTCAGTTTTTCCACCTCAGTGAAGCTACAAAAATTCTCCTGAAGACATTTTGCACAGACTCCTATCCTCATAAGCCATTTATGCTGCTTTGTTGCAGTCTATTTCATGGGGAAAAATAGTCTTCTTGGTATTTAACTAAGATTTAATGTGAAGGATTTTTTTTTGTTTCTAATTTATTTTATCTTTAAAGACATTTGTTTAATGTCTATCATCACAATGTACACAATAGCAACAAAATATAATTTTACCAAGATAGCTGATGCTTATTTTTATATGAAATTTTGTAAACTGACTTGAGCTTTTAAGACAAAGGTAATACTGATGTAAAAAAAATGTCAATAGGGATCCCTGGGTGGCGCAGTGGTTTGGCACCTGCCTTTGGCCCAGGGCGCGATCCTGGAGACCCAGGATCGAATCCCACATCGGGCTCCCAGTGCATGGAGCCTACTTCTCCCTCTGCCTATGTCTCTGCCTCTCTCTCTCTCTCTCTCTGTGTAACTATCATAAATAAAAAAAAATGTCAATAATACATGAGTGATGGCACATTGTCCTCTCTCTACGTCAAAAATCGCCCCCCCCCCTTTTTAGGTAAAGAAAACAAAATCATACCTTGCAAAATTCTCCTTCTCTACACAGTTAAGCTCTATAAGACCTTCATTTATGCGTTCCTGTTCCATAGCACGCTCCTCCTGTTCTTTTGCCTTTCGTTGCACTAAGAAAGACAAAAGTAATTTTTGGTAAATGATTTTCTTCAAATAAGACATGCTGGCATCCGTCTGGGCATCAATGCCATCCTGTAGGCAGAACCTACAATAACTGGACTGTATCTTAGGTCAATAAGGTGGAAGTAGTCATCTTCATCAAGGCAAGAAAAGGGTTTTAGGTCCGAACATGTATGATCTACGCAGATTTTTTTTTAAGATTATTTATTTATTCATGAGAGACACAGAAAGAGAGAGAGGCAGAAACACAGGCAGAGAGAGAGAAGCAGGCTCCATGCAGGGAGCCCAATGTGGGACTCGATCCTGGGACTCCAGGACCACGCCCCAGGCCGAAGGCAGGTGCCCAACCACCGAGCCACCCAGGCATCCCTACACAGATTTTTTTTCTTAACCATTTTTCATTGAAAACCTGTGATCAGACTTTTTCTTTTTTTTTAATTTATTTTTTATTGGTGTTCAATTTGCCAACATATAGCATAACACCCAGTGCTCATCCCATCAAGTGCCCCCTCAGTGCCCGTCATCCAGTCACCTCCACCCCCACCCACCTCCTTTTCTACCACCCCTTGTTCGTTTCCCAGAGTTAGGAGTCTGTCATGTTCTGTCTCCCTTTTGATCAGCCTTTTTCAAACCAGGTTACCACCATTAGAACATTTCTCACCTTTCTCTTCTTGAGGACAAAAAGTTGTGTTGTCATTTATGCTAACAAGAGAATTTATTTATGACAAAATAAATATTGGTAGGGCAGCCCCGATGGCGCAGCGGTTTAGCGCTGCCTGCAGCCCAGGGCGTGATCTGGAGACCCTGGATCGAGTCCCACGTCAGGCTCTCTGCATGGAGCCTGCTTCTCCCTCTGCCTGTGTCTCTGCCTCTCTCTCTCTCTGCATCTCTATGAATAAATAAATAAAACCTTTAAAAAAAAAGACCTTAGCTAATAACATACAAGATTTCTGTAAATTAAATTTTAAAAACATAAGCATCCAGTAAGGCAGGGGGCATGACAAAGAAAACAGAGTTCACAAAAGAATAAATACAATTGGGAAATATACATCTGAAATGTACATATCTTTGGTCCCCAAATTCTTTTATAGGAACTTATCTTAAATAATCATGTATGAGCCAAAAAGAACTATGTACAGAGATAGTAACCTGCGATGCTAAAATTGTAGCAAAAAGATTCAAGAGAATCTTTTTTTTTTAAGTTTTTTTTTTATTTATTTACGATAGTCACAGAGAGAGAGAGGGAGAGAGAGAGAGAGAGGCAGAGACACAGGCAGAGGGAGAAGCAGGCTCCATGCCGGGAGCCCGACGTGGGATTCGATCCCGGGTCTCCAGGATCGCGCCCTGGGCCAAAGGCAGGCGCTAAACCGCTGCGCCACCCAGGGATCCCAATTCAAGAGAATCTTAAGGTCCATTAGTTGTACTTAGGTAAAATAAATCATGGTCCATTTTTATAATGGATATCTAAGCAGCATTACAAATTTTATAATTGGAGAAAAATGACCTTGAAAAATGTTTATGGTAAGTGGAAAAGGCAGACTGTAAAACAATATATTCAACATAAATCCTAATTTTCTATATACATAGTAAAAATACAGGATGTTGTCAATAGTAGCTATTCCTGGGTGGTAGAATTATGGATGATTTTGTTTCTTTGCTTAAAAATGGCCCCAGGGGATCCCTGGGTGGCTCAGGGGCTGGGCACCTGCCTTTGGCCCAGGGCGTGATCCTGGAGTGCCAGGATCAAGTCCCAGGATCGAGTTCCGGGATCGAGTCCCACATCGGGCTCCCTGCGTGGAGCCTGCTTCTCCCTCTGCCTGTGTCTCTGCCTCTCTCTCTTTCTCTGTCTCTCATGAATAAATAAATAAAATCTTTAAAAAAAAGGCCCCAAATACCTAAATTTTCCACATTGTGTCAATATATTCTAAAACATGCATCATGGGTAAATACAGAAATTTTTTAAGCTTATAAGCTTTCTGCTCATTTTCTTACAACTCCACCCAATACAGGCTTACCAATTCTCAACAGCTATTATCATTCCTGCAGTGAAAAATCAACGAGCGGAACCAAGATGAGCTCTCTTTTGCAGAGACAACTAGCATGAAATCTAATGGTGCACAAATGGTAAATGTATCCATCTACCACCTCTTCAGTTCACTGAGTTGGACGTGGAGTGGTGGAAATCTGAAGGTTACAGTTCACCCCTCTCAACAAATATTTCTTTTTGTGACCAAGCACTTTTTGGAACTGAGGGCATACAAAGGTGTGCTAAGACAGGGATGTGAGCGGAGCAGCCTGGGCAGCTCAGTGGTTTAGCGCCACCTTCAGCCTAGGGTGTGATCCTAGAGTCCCAGGATAGAGTCCTGTGTTGGGCTCCCCTCAGGGAGCCTGTTTCTCCCTCTGCCTGTGTCTCTGCCTCTCTTTCTGTTTCTCATGAATAAGTAAATAAAATCTTAAAAAAAAAAAAAAACAGACAGGGATGTGAGCAAACCACATTGAGCCCCCCAGAAAGAAGATTTATTATGAATACAGGGACATATTTGAGGAATGAGATATGTGAGCTGGCCCTGAAGGATCGCCAGGATTGCTCAAGATCAAAAGCATCGTAAGCAGAGAAAAAACTGCCCAAGTGAAGGTATGCAGGTATGGAGACACCTATGGAAAGCAAAGAGAGACAGATAAAAGGGAGGAGGGGTGTGTGCGCTGTGCCCTACTTTCTCACTCTCCTTTATAGTCACCTAGGGGCACAGACCACTCAACGGATACCATACCTTGAACCTTGAGAACATCTCCCACGTGATTGCTCAGAATCTGCAAGGATATAAAACCCTTCACACGTTTATACTCCAAGTATTAAATTAGATAAGTTCTGCAAGGCAGGGGTCTTGCCTTAAGCCTTTTTACATCCTTCATATCATTTTACATATAATACCTACTTATTTTGGTTGCTACTTAAGTTGAATTCAGGCCCAATTATATTATTATTATTCATTTTCTTACATTTTTCCTGAATTTGAAGTTTTCTTGTGCACATGACCTCATTCACAAGTTGTCTCCTTGCCTCCTTTTCAAGTCTCAGCTCCTTGTCCTTCTCAGCCAACTTCTTTTCCTTCTCTGTCTCTAATATTCTGTCCCGTTCTTTCTCCTGAGCTCGCTCCTCTTCACGCCACTGCACCACATACTGACGATATATCTCCTGTTCTCTTGCCATCTCTTCCTATACAACAGAAGAATTACTTCATGTTGTTAAACTTGTAGGTGTGATAACAGTATGGAGGACAAGTTTTAAAGCAATCTTTTAAAGCTCCAATCCTAATTTTTTAGAACTACATACTGACGCATTTATAAATGAAATATTCCACCTAGGGTTTAGCTCAAAATATTCAAGAGTGGTGGTAGGGAATGGGTGGGGCACAGATCAAATGCAGAATGGCCATTAGTTGGTTGTTGAAGCTAAGGGAAGGACATATTGGGGTTTGTTGTGTTATTCTTTGTATGTGTGCTTTATAATACACGCTTGAATAAGTTATTTCAAACACTTTTCCAAAGTGTTTTTAAAGCAGTTCCCAGATAATTTTCAATTATAACAGCTTTATTTTCATTTAAGAAGGTTATGAAATTGTAACCTGATAAAAAATCAGTACTGATAAATCAGTACTACTATAATAGCCCTGTTTTTGACTAGAAGATGGTCACTTGCTACTTTGATAATAAACATTCTCAGTCTTAGCTATATTTTGGAATCATCCAGGAGCTTCAAAAAGTACCAAGGGCTGAATCTCACCAAGAGACTCTGAGCAAATGAATAACTTTTAAGTTCCCAAGTGATTTTAATGTGCAGCTAAGGCTGTGAACTGGACTTTGTAATGCTGGCATTTTCAGTTGGCTTCTCTGTTGTTCATGGCATTATACCTGTGCTGTTCCATCCAATCTCTAACATCTTCAGAAAATATCATAAATGTGGGGGAGGACCGGCAAGGTCTGAATTGTACATTTAGAAGGTCTTGCATTTATAGTCTCATACTTGGGAATAAATTTAACAAAAGGAGTGTAAAACTTATACTCTGAAAACTAAGAAACTGAAATAACGAATGGAAAGACATCCTACATTCATGGATCAGAAGCCAGTATTGTTAAAATGGCAATTGTCTACATTTGGTCTACAGACAAAACAATCCCTATCAAAATCCCAAATGGTTTCTATGCAGAAATCAACAAACTGATTCTAAATTCATATGGAAATAAAAAAGGGCCAGTAAAGCCAAAACAATTTGAAAGAGAACAGAGTTGGAGGATTCACATTTCCTGATTTCAAATTTACTGCAAAGATATATAGATATGTGCTACTGGCATAAGGGTGAACACATAGACTAATGGAACAGAACCCAGAGTCCAGAGATAAACCCTCACATTCACCATCAATTGATTTTGACAAGAGTACCAAGACAATTCTATAGAGTAAGAACAGTCTTTAATAAATGGTGCTGGGACAACTGGATAACTACATGCAAAAGAATGAAGTTGGATCTCTACCTCACACCATACACGAAATCTAACTCAAAATGGATCAAAGGCCTAAATCGGAGAACTAAACCTATAAAACTCTAAGAAGAAAACAGGACCTTCTTGACCTTGGGGCAGGAACAGATTTTTAGATATAATACTAAAAGCACAAGCAACAAAACATAGATAAATTGGACTTCATCAAAATTAAGACTTTGGTACTTCAAAGGACACCATTAGGAAAGTAGAAAGACAATCCACAGGTTGAAAAGGAATATTTACACACAACTTATGTGTAAGGGACTTGTACCTAGAACATATAAAGAATTATTACAATTCAATAAAAAAGTAATATAACCTGATTAAAAACTGGGAAAACAACTAGAATATATTTCTTGAAATTTCAAATAGATTTCTCCAAGGAAAATATATAAATGGTCAATAAGCACAGTAAAAGAAGCTCAAATCATTAGTTACTAGGGAATGTAAATCAAAACCACAACAACAGATCATTTCAGAAACACTAGGATGGTTAAAAAAAAAAAAAAGACAACAACAAGTGTTAATAAGCATGTGAAGTCAAAACCCTCATACACTGCTAGCGGGAATCTAAAATGGGGAAGCCACTTTGTCAAACAATTTGGCAAGTACTTAAAAGCTTAAAGTCACCCTAGGACTCATTAATTCTACTCCTAGGTATCTGCCCAAGAGAAACAAAAACCTATGTCCAAACAAAAATCTACACAAGAATATTCACAGTAGTATTACTCATAATAGCCAAAAATGCAAACACATCAAATGTCCCTAGACTGACAAATGGATAAATGAAATGTGGTACATCCATCCAATGGAGTATTATTCAGCCATATAGAAGAAATACTCATACATGTTACAACATGGATAAACCTTGAAACATTATGCTAAGTAAAAGATCCAGTCAAAAGGTTACATAGTATATAATTCCATTCATAATAAAGTCCAGACTAGTAAATCTGTAGAAACAGAAATTAGCAGTTGCTTAGGAATGGGGGGAAGGGATGGGGAAGAGGGAATAGAGAGAGAATAAAAAAGTTCTAAAATTTACTGTGGTGATGGTTGCGCAGTTCTGTGAATATACCAAAAACCACTGAAATGTATATTTGAAATGGGTAAGTGGTAAGTTATAAGAATTATACCTTAATGAAGCTGTTAAAAAAATAAAATGGTCTAATGGAGAACAAAAAACTCAATACCAGAAAGAAAGAAAGAAAGAAAGAAAGAAAGAAAGAAAGAAAGAAGAAAAGAAAAGAAAGAAATCAAATAATCCAATTAGAAAATGGGCCAAAAGTACGAGAAAACATTTCACTGAAGGAAGATACACAGATGGCAATAAGCACATGAAAAGTTGATCAACATCATTAGATATTAGGGAAATATAGAATAATAAAACAATGAGATAGCACTACACATCTATTAGTAGAGCTAAAGTAAAGAACAGTACCACCACCAAATGTTGGTAAGGATATGGAAACGCTGAATCATTCATTCATTGTTGGTGGGAATGTTCATTTTTGGTGGCATGGTAAAACTACTCTGAAAAAACAGGTTGGCAGTTTCTTAAAAAACTAAACATGCAATTATAATTGCCCTTCAGGGCATTTTTCCCAGAGTAACAAAAATCTGTGTTCACAGAAAAACCTGTACATGAATGATTATAGCAGCTTTACTGATAATGGCCATAAATTAGGTGACCTTTAACAAGTAAATGGTAAAAACAGACTGGTGTACTCATACTATGAATACCACTCAACCACTCACAAGAAAAATACACTACTGATACATGCAACAACCTGGATAAATATCCAGAGAGTGGTGCTGAACGAAAATGTCAATCCCAAAAGGTTACATGCTAGAGGATTCCATTTATATAACACTATTGAAATGACAAAATAATGGAAATGGAAAACAGATAAGTAGTTGCCAAGGGTTAAGAAGGGGATGAGGACAAGAGGGAAGTGGATGTGACCATTAAGAGGGAAACATGAATCTTGGTGACGGGAATGTTCTGTATCTTGACAGTTCAATGTCAATATCCTGGCTGTGATATTATACTATAGTCTTGTAAGACATCATAGAGAGAAACTGAACTGCATGTGAATCTACAATTATCCCCAACTAAAAAGCTTAATTTAAAAAACAGTAACAGCCTCTGGTTTCCAATCTGGCACATAAAGAGCTTAGAAGTTGCCACTCTGGCATTCTAACAACAAGCAAAAAGCTAACAAACTTAATAAATCAACAATCTTAAGGATGCCTGGGTGGCACAGTCAGTTCAGATTCCAACTCTTGGTTTCGGTTCAAATCATAATGTCAGGGTCTTGAGATCAAGCCTCGATTAGGCTCACTATTCAGCACGTGCATTCTTTCTCTCAGAAATAAATCTTAAAAAGAAATCAACCAAGGGAGAAGAAATGTGTGGGAAATATCAGAAAGGGAGACAGAACATAAAGACTCCTAACTCTGGGAAACGAACTAGGGGTGGTGGAAGGGGAGGAGGGCGGGGGGTGGGGGTGAATGGGTGACGGGCACTGAGGGGGACACTTGACGGGATGAGCACTGGGTGTTATTCTGTATGTTGGTAAATTGAACACCAATAAAAATTAATTTATTAAAAAAAAATCAACCATCTTAGAGAAGTGGGCAAACCCCTGCCCTCAAATTGGAGAGACTGACAGGTAAATACAGAGTCACAGCTTACCATAACAGAAACCTATGAGCAGAAACTTCTATGGGAACCAGTGCTGGGGTATGAAAACCTGTAATTGATGAATTGCTAGAGGCTTAGTGTAGACACCAAGAGTTAAAAACTCTTAGGGGACTCAGTCATTGAAGGGTGGGGGAGCCCACACTTTTGTGAGTTTGACCTCTTGAAGCTCCACCAGGTTCTCATAGTGAATATCAGAGAAAAAGTCTTTAATGTTTCCTGCAGCAGGAGAAGAAAAGGAATCATTTTGAAATACACCAGAGCATCCTATTCTTAGGTTTGCTCTCATGAGTAACCATTTAATCAAAGCCTAACCTGCTGGAGTTTTATCTAAGCCTAACCTGGGAAAAGGGCAATACTCAACTCCAGGACCCCTGCACCCTTCCATGTGGGGGAAGGGAAACCCCATAATCAAGGATTCCAATGATAAGAGGAGTGTCCAGATCCAAAAGCACAAGGCTCTCCAGAGGTGGAATTCCTTCCTTTGCTTGCTTGGATTTTTATCGCTGGGAGCTGACCTCATACTTCTATTGCAGTTATTACTACAAAGGCTCAAAGCCAGCGGAACACACTAGATGAGGCCTGCCTGACTCTTTCTAAGACTGGTATGGTCCAATGGGCCTAATACTTCTCCGAGCATAGCAACCCAGAAGACCTAGATTTCATTTCCAATCTTGAAAAGCCCCCAACTGTCCCTAAATCCAGATGATTCTTCTTACTGGAAGACCCTCTCCTAAATTAACAGGGCCACACTCTTCCACTTTGTGGGGACCTCCCATACTGTTCAGGAAGCCCTGGCAGGAGTAAACTTGATGTTACCCCGCAAAAGAGACCTGTAACCAGACCCCCAGATTTTATAGTACCAAGGCGGCTCACCAACCAACACCAACCAAGGCCAGCCTTCAGGTGCCAAGCCCTGTAACCACCTTGCAGAGCGACTTTCCCACCTCCTGGTTCTGGAGCTCCCATGCCAAATCTGTAAGGAAAGCAATGTCTAGGACATTTCAAATAGCAGGGGGTCTTGCACTGGCAGCTCCACCAGTGGGGGTGCCCAATGATTTTATAATGGGACAACCCTGAAGTAAGTTCCTCTCATTAAAACAAGTGATTACCTCACTATCGAGCCCAAACCTAATGTTCCAGACACCTTCAAGGAGTCCCAAGACTCTGTCTTTCCCAAACAACTTCCCTGACCTATAGGCTTGGCAGTCTCCCAGGGAATTACCCCAAGGACCTGGCAGTTCCTTTAAGTTTGTCCCGCCTACACAATTGGCCATCTCAACTCCAGTGGCCCACAGGGACAAAGTCAGATAACCAGACATTCTTGGCTCTATTAGACACAGGAGCCCAAGTCGCAGTGATTCTAAACTCAGGCGTGGATATCATGCATTCCTTTGCAAGGTGCACCTCTGCCAACCCAGTGGAGCTCACTGAGATCTGCTCAACTAGCAGTGAAGTCCATCCTTGTAGTTCTGCCCTGAGCCAGGTCTCTAGTATCTACAGTTGACCTGAACAACACAGAAATGCAAAAATGGTACAGCCACTTTGGAAGACAATTTGGCAGTTTCTTAGAAAACTAAACATATTCTTACCATATGATTCAGCAACTATACCCCTTGGTATTTACCCAAATGAGTTGAAAACATACAGCTACCCAAAAGCCTGCACACAGATGTGAACGCAGCTTTAGTCATAACCACTAGAACTGGAAGCAACCCAGGATATCCTTCAGTAGGTGACTGGATAGACCATGCTCCATCCATACAATGGAATGTTATTCAGAGCCAAAAAGAAATGAGCTGTAGAGCCATGAAAAGAAATGGAGAATATTTAAATTCACAGCACTTGGTAAACAAGCGACTCTAAAAAGACATCATACTACATGATTCCAACTTTATGATGTCCTGGAAAAGGTAAAACTGGTGATGGTAAGAAGGTGAGTGGTTTCTAAGGGTTTGGAGTCAAGGAAGAGAAATGAGTAAAGGCAGCACAGAGGATTTTTAGGCTAGTGAAATTACTCTGTATGATATTTTCATGGTGGCTACATGTCATTTGACATTTGTTCAAACCTGCAGAATGTACATCATCAAGAGGAAACCTTAATGGACTTCGGGTGATAATGACGTGTTGATGTAGGTTCATCAATGGTAACAAACGTCACCCTCTGGTTGGAGGATGTTGGTAGTGAGGGAGGCTCAGTCACATATAGGGGGCAGGGAGCACACGGGAAATCTCTGTATCTTCTGCTCAGTTTTGCTCCAAACTTAAAACTGCTCTAAAAAATAAAGTTTACTTTTAAAAAGAAGCCAAAAAATAGTACCTGTATAGGAAAAGCACAACACCCTGAAGGGTTCAATACAAATTTCAAGGAAACAGCCTGTCGAATACAAACTGGAATGTTTTTCTCTACTCTCTGCTTGGCAAAACTTTACATATCTTTCAAGCTCCAAGTCAAATACTACTTTCTGAAATGATGTCTTCCCCAGGTTCCCAGCACACTTAGTCACTCACTCACTGCCATCACAGGGCCAACCTCACGATATATGAGAGTTCTCCAAATTCAGAGGGTGTCAGAATCCCCTGGGGGAGCTGGTTAAAACAGATTTCTTGCCCCTGCCAAGATTTTGATTTGGAGACTGATTCCAGAGGTGAAAAATTTCTATTTCTAACATCCTCTCAGATGATGCTGATGGTCTGCGGACGACGCTTGAGAGCAGAACAGTAGGTTCATTCTACATGTGGCTAGCTCCTGTTAACACTGAAAGATGAGCAGGCTATCTCATCCAGCACATAGTAGGTACTGAATAAACATCTTACTCTTTTTTGCTTCTTTTTATCAGTCTCTTCCTGTAAGTCTTGAAGGGCCTTTTGCACAAGCTTCATGTTCAAGTCCTGCTCTTCTCTGTATTCCTGCTGAATATACTCTATCTTTTCCAGGAGGGCTTTTTGCAAAGCAGCCCTAATTTCCTGTTTTGTCTTCTGTTTCTTTAGCTTAGCCTGTTCATTCTCAAGTTTCACCTGTGCTTTGTCATTTTCCTAAGATAAAACACAATAATGAAGATGATGTATCAGTACAGTTAGACAAAACAAATAAGTTAATGCATTTCACTTAAGAGATTGAGAATTGAGGGTTTCTTGGAGATATACGCATCTGAATTTAGAGGGACTATGCGATAGAAAACTTGCCTTTTCATTGCTGAGTTAGCAACAACCCTTTGCTCTGTGTATGATTCTGAAATAAACGGCTGTGGAGTTGAAAATGCAGAAAAGTACAGAGAGAAATGACTTTCAATCCTAGTACCCATCACCCACTACCACCCATTACTAAGCAGCAGTAGAAGCCCCAAACTGGAAATGTGCCATTAGCTACATATGCTAAATGAAATCATACACATTTTTTTTTCTTTAAAAGTACTCTTTCATTCCTCTCATTTTTTAATCTTTTTGACCCTCTGGGCTGACTTAATTGCCTGGCCAACAGGCAGCTTTAACTGGGGCACCAATGCTGTCGGGCATTGTGGGTTGGGTAGAAAATCTGGGTATGGTATAAACTAAAGCATTAATCCTCCTGCCAGAGGCAGCTGAACAGTCAGTCCTGGAGGGATAAGTATTGTCCAGGTGGGACAAGAAAGGATGTGGCAATAGTGAGGATGGTATACAATTCCCAATGTGATTTATCCAAGACTCACAATAGCCACCATGATCACCATGATCACTGGTTTGTGAAAGGACAGTTATAGGCTAGACTTTCCTATTAATGCCACGAACAGTAAATCCTGAATTGTGAGAGTTAAATGAAAATGTGAAATTCCTCTGCCATCTCTAAGGAAAAACAATGGCTATCAAAAATGAAAGCCAGTAGAAGAGCACATTTTTTTAAAAGTAAGGCTGACTGGGATCCCTGGGTGGTTCAGTGGTTTGGTGCCTGCCTTTGGCCCAGGGCGTGATCCTGGAGTCCCAGGATCGAGTCCCATGTCCAGCTCCTTGCATGGAGACTGCTTCTCCCTCAGCCTGTGTCTCTGCCTCTCATGAATAAATGAATAGAATCTTAAAAAAAAAAAAAGTAAGGCTGACTACACTAGGAGGAAGCAACCAGCTAAATCCCCTGACTATGAGACATGGGAGAGATGGAATGGGACAAGGGAGAAGTGTTCAAGATTAACAGACCTAGGAGCAGTTTGCCGCATCTTGGTTTCTCCAGGTTAGTTCTGACTGTGCAACTGCTGTGCTGACATAATGAACTTAACGTATCCCTTTCGACCTCAGTTGTGCCCTGATTTGAATAAGAAACAGTCACCCGGGGATCCCTGGGTGGCGCAGCGGTTTGGCGCCTGCCTTTGGCCCAGGGCGCGATCCTGGAGACCCGGGATCGAATCCCACGTCGGGCTCCCGGTGCATGGAGCCTGCTTCTCCCTCTGCCTATGTCTCTGCCCCTCTCTCTCTCTCTGTGACTGTCATAAATAAATAAAAAAAAAAAATTTAAAAAAAAAAAAAAAAAAAAAGAAACAGTCACCCTTTCTAAAGAGACTATAAGAACCATGTTTGGATTCTGATATAAATATCAAATAATTCAGATAATGATAGAAATCTGATGCTGATTTTAGATGATGAAACGGAATCACAGTTAATTTTTTTAGGTCTGACATTGGCATGTGTAAGAAAATATCCTTAATCGTGTCAGGAGGTGGGGGGGTGGGTAGATGGGTTTGTTGTACTCTCAACTCTGTGCATTTGAAAATGTTCATAATAAAACATTAAAAAGGCTGGCATTTATATGACGTCAAAATCACAAAATAATAACAATAAAGAATACATCAGTGGCTGCCAGGAGTTAGGGTAGAGGGAAGTTATTAATTATAAAGGAGAAGCTTCAAAGGAGTTTCTTTGGATAATGGAACAGTTCTGCATCCTGATTTTGGTAGTGGTTATTAAAATCTATACATGTGATAAAATTTCACAGAAATGTACACCTTCCCCCAAGGACCACATGTAAAAACCGGTGACATCCAAAGATTTTACTATATTTAAATAAAGAATAACTTTAATTGAAGGTATTATACCAATGTTAATTTCCTAGTTTTGCTTTGTTTTCAAATGAACTTATTTTTGCATGTTTATTTTGTATTCTGCAATTTTCCTGAATGTGTTAATTAGATTGAACAGTTTTGGAGTGCAGTCTGTAGAATTTTTTCTATATAAAATCTTATCATCTGCAAATAAAATTTTACTTATTCCTTTCTAATTCAGATGACTTTTATTCTGTCTCTTACCTAAGTGCTCTGGTTAGGACTTCCAGAGTGGTGACAGTGAGTACCCTTGTTTTTTTCCTGATTTTATTTTTTTTTTTAAGATTTTATTTATTTATTCATGAGAGACACAGAGAGGCAGAGACATAGGCAGAGGGAGAAACAGGCTCCATGAGGGAAGCCCGATGTGGGACTCGATCCTAGTACTCCAGGACCATGCCCTGAGTTGAAGGCAGATGTGCTTAACTGCTGAGCCACCCAGGTGTCCCTTTTCCTGATTTTAGACAAAAAGCTTAAAACCTTTCCCACTGAGCATGATGTTAGCTATGGGTTTGTCATTCATGTGTTGTAACTATGTTGAGATACCTCCTTCTACACCGAATTTGTTGATAATTTTTAACATGATTGGCTTCTGAATTTTTTCAAATGTTTTTCTGCATCTATTGAGATAATCATACAATTTTTGTTAATTTCTTGGTATTTATAGTTTATAAATCTATAAATATAATAAATACAAAATGTTACATATATGTATGTATGTGTATATATATACATATTTGTTATATGTATTATATGTGTGTGTATATATATACATATTTGTTATATGTATATATATATGTTCTATATGTGTGTGTGTGTATATATATATATGGTTACATAAGGGTATACAGGAACTCTACTATTTTTGCAACTTGTGAGTCTAAAATTGTTTCCAAAAGATTTTCAAAAAATGTTTTGAAAGGAAGGTAGAAAGAGAGCCAGGCATGGTATAATGAAAAGTAAACACTTGGTCTTTATCCCTGTGTCCTGGTACACAGCTTCCAAAACCCTTGAGCTCTCTCAAGTGGTAAGACTATCTTGTATCCTCATGTGATGACTGATGGCTGTAGGCCCTACATAACTTCAGGGCAGGGCTGGTGACCAGAAAGACTGGACCATATGATTAGAGGGTTGAAACTTTCAATTCCAGAGGGATCCCTCTACCTCCAGAGAAGAGAGAGGGGCCAGAAATTGAGTTGAATCACCAATGGGCAATGATTTAATTAATCATGCTTATATAATAAAACCTCCATTAAAATGCCAAATGGGGGGATCCCTGGGTGGCGCAGCGGTTTGGCACCTGCCTTTGGCCCAGGGCGCGATCCTGGAGACCCGGGATCGAATCCCACATCGGGCTCCCGGTGCATGGAGCCTGCTTCTCCCTCTGCCTGTGTCTCTGCCTCTCTCTCTCTCTCTCTGTGACTATCATAAATAAATAAATTAAAAAAAAAGAAATTAAAATGCCAAATGGAGGCAGCAGGGTGGCTCGGTGGTTGAGCGTCTGCCTTCGGCTCCTGGGATCCTGGGATCGAGTCCCGCATTGGGCTCCCCTCAGGGAGCCTGCTTCTCCCTCTGCCTGTGTCTCTGCCTCTCTGTGTGTCTCTCATGAATAAATAAATAAAATCTTTAAAAAATAAAATAAAATAAACACATGGAGGTATTGGGCACATGGTATGCCCAGAGAGGATGTGCAAGCTGTGTGTACTGTACTGCCCCCCATACCTTGCCCTATGCATCTCTTCTCTTTGCCTCTTTTACAATAAACAGGTTATAGTAAGTAAAGCACTTTCTTGAGTTGTGTTATTTTAGTGAATTATCAATCTTAGGAGGAGTTATGAACTTCTCATAACTTTTATTGACTTTGTAGCCAATGAAGTGTGGGAACCAATTTGGACAGAAGTGTGGGTAACCTGAGGACCCACCACTTGTGACGGGCCTCTGGAGTATAGGCAGTCTTGTGGGATGGAGCCTTTAAACCTCTGGAGTTTAATGCTAGCACTGATACTGAGCATCAGAATTCAAATTGTAGGTCACCTTGTTGGTGTCCATGGAGAATTAGAGAATTGTTGGTGTGAGAAAAAAAAAAAAACCCACCACACATTTGGTGTCAGATGTGCTGTGGGTAAAAACGGCTCACTACCTAACTTACAACAGAAGGAATTTGGGGCCACCTTTTCAATTTTCTTAGAGAAACTAAAATATTTAAGACATCTTCCACTTAAACTCTCCAAAAGAGAACAGTCTCAAACCCAGGAAGGTTTTTAGGGTTCTGAAATATCTTACCTTTAGCACTTCTTACGGTTCTAAATTTCAATACTTGGGATTTCCCAGGGAAATATACATTTTTCCTAAATTTGGTGGTATTAACGTTATCAGTTGCTGGAAGCTTTATATTAAAATTGCTTTTTTTTTAGTGCTTTCATACATTTTCAGTGACAGTTCTAATTTCTCTATAGTAGGGGCAACAACCTTGCTGGAACAAAATGATTCATTTTGGTGGCTGCAGTGGAAGGGCCAACTCTAGCTGGTGTAAAGCACTTGACATAGGATTTAATCCATATCAGAGAATGAGGGGATGTTGCCAAATTACCACTAGCTCTCCATGGTACTGCCTATGATTATCACATTTCATACTCACAACAAAGACAAGTGGCTTTTGCCTTATTTTTTAGATAAAGAGACCAAGTCACAGTAGTGAAGTAATTTGCCCCCTGCAAAAGGATGGCACTGTTGGCTGGACTGGGCCTTGGAATCTAAGACTCTGACCAAGGTCTGTTGCCCTGTGAACGAGCCAGGCCATGAGGCAATGTGCATGCTAGCAGGCCTGCAAACTGTGTACTATAACCAATAAGTGGATCATCCCGTGACAAGCATTATAAAAGACCCACCACAAAGCGCGCCTCCTCCTCCTTCAGCTGCTGCTCAGCCTGCCTTTGTGCTCTAATGTTGGTGATCTGGGCATTCAGCCCCAGGCGTGTATTCTCCACTAGCTCTTTCTGCCTCCTCGCTTCTTCCACTTCTCGCTTTTCCTTGGCTAATCGGTCTTCCTCCCAGAGCTTTGAGAACATCTCCTCTTCCACTAGTTTCTGCCTTTTCAGCTCTTCATTAAAAGCTATCTGTGCTTTCCGCTCCTCGCACACCTTCTTCTGATGGATACAAAACAATTTGGTTCGGAGCTCCTCACAGTGTTCCCTGAAAGGAGAATTTTTAAAAAGCAAAATCCAGCCTTTCGTGAGACATTGCTCTCTTCTAGGCACACACCTGCACAGTCAGACACTGAAGGAAGAGAAGTAAAAGGATTGGATGTAGGCCACCAGAGCTGAGAGAACATGTGAGGGCCATCGGGAAGGCAGGCATCATGACATCACAGACAAAACACAGGCACTGGAAGTCAGGCCCAACAGGCTTTGAAACTGAGATCTGACATTTCTGTGTGACCCTGAGATCAAAAGCTCGACCTATCTGAGCCAGTTTCTTTATCTGCAGAACAAGTCTCTCCTTCAAGGTTCTGGTAAGGATCAGAGAAAATGGATGAAAATATCTGGTAAATAATAGAAAGGTAATAATAAATGGTAACTATTATTAATACTGTAGAGGAACTAGAAGAGGCATGGGTCCCTGTAACAGGCAAGTAAATTGAGGCTTTGGTAGGAAAAGGCCCCACATGCCAAGGAAAAAGCTAAGGGTCAGCATATCATGGTGAAGCTGCCCCAATGCCCCTGGATTCCTGGTAGAATCCCTGCCAGAGCTGAGAAAATAGCTCAAATGCTGCCTTTTCACACCTAGGCTTATGCCACCATTCCAGAAGAGTTGCTCTTTCAGTAAGTCTTTAGACCTCATCCTTTTTTTCAGTCTTAGTGATGCAAATTTCCTCAAATGTTCTTCCTTGTTTTTAATTTAAGGGCTGTGATATTCAATACTGTTTATACTTTAGAATTACTTAGGGGTATCTTTATAATCCTACTCCTCACTTCTTCCCTCCACTACTCCCAGACCAAACTTGTTCAATCAGAATATCTGGAGGCAGGACCCAGGCATCTGTATGTTTTTTTTGGAGTGCCTCAGAAACTTCTGGCTCTTTTACATAAAGACCCAGAAGTTTGAGAACCTCGGATTCAAAGCAACATTCATAAACATCAAGTCTTGGTTTCATCAAATTCGGCACCAAGAAGCTGAAATTTGAGAATGGACTTAGTAAAGAACTTCAAAGAATTTTAGTTTCCAAGGCTTAATAAAAAGGTTGATGTCTAAAATTGCAAGAGTGGTCAAAACCACAGAAATTGACATTTATCAAATACTGTTGAGTATTGTTCAATGTTTGATGAGGACTAGTCTCGTTTTCCTAACTAAAAGGGGACTCTCTGTGAGGGCTGGGACTCAGGAACATATTTCGGGAAATATATTCCCCACAGTACCTACCCAATGTCCGTTAAATAATTGTTGGTTAAATTGATACATAATCATGCTTATTAGCAAAATAATGATAACTGGCAGTTATCTAGATTCTGTGGAAAGCTCAAAAAGATTACAGAAGCTGAAATTGCTATGTTACCAAAAAAACAAAACACTTTAACATTGAAAAATGAATTCATCTATATAAAATTCATCAGTGACAGTCTATCAGAGAATTGTCCATGACAACTAATTAAAGTCCTTCCCAATCCTATGACTTATACTCCAGAAAAGTTACTCAATTAATGAAACTCTGAAGCCTAAGAATAACAAGTTATGTCTTATATTTTTGCTTTAAAAAAAAACCATTCTAATTACAAAACTAATACATGCAGAAAAACTGGAAAATATAGAAAAGTATGAGGATACTAAAGATATGCTTAATCCCTCTACCCAGACATAACAGCTTGTAGCATGTTAGTGTATTTCTTTCCAGTCTTGTGTATGTGCATTTTTACTAGAATTGGGGTCTTTCTGTATATCTATATACTTATACTGGTATCTCCTTATATCTTAATTTTTCCACCTTACACTATTTGGGGAATGTTTCTTCATGGAGTCTTCTTAAAATAACCTCAAAACTTTGCTATAATTTAGTAAGCTATGGAATAGAGGCTGGAACCTATAAATATACCAATTTATTGAAATATTTCCTTATTTGATGAACATACAGGTTACTTCTGATTTTTACTATAACGTTGCAATGAATACATCTAAGTGTAGCTCCTTCTGCTTATCTCTGATGATTTCCTCAAGGTAATTTAATTCCCTTCTTTAATATAAAATGTGTACAAAACTGCTGTAAGGCACTTGATGGCTGTTGCCGAGAAAGCCTGAATTAACATTATATGAAGGTACCCATATCAAGCATTTCTTTAGATCAGTAGATCTTCAAACTTCTTTATGTATCCTTTTCAGTAAAAAAATTCTAAGCACTCACAAACAGGTAGGATTATTATTTATAAATTGTATGTAATTATTACTATATTACAATGTCACATAACTTATTAAATATATGCAAAAATAAAAACCAAAGACAGGTGAGATTTAAATAAAAAATATCAAGTATTACCTCCCAGCATCGTAATGATTCACCTATTCACTTAACCTTGAGAACACCTGATTCAGGGAGTTCACTTTCATCTACAGATAGTGTATTTATCTATTTTGATGATGATAATCATTGATAAGAGGAAAGCTTTTTGTTTGTGAATATTTTACAAAATACTTTCACAGTAAAATCTTATTTTATCCTCACATGTATGTCTTATAACTAGAGCAGCATTAACCCCATTTTAGAGTTATAGCAATTGAAACCCAGGGAACCTTAGCATCTTCCCAAACTACACAGCCAGTAGCTGTAATATTATTAGCAACAGTTACTGAATGCTTATTATTTGCCAGGCACTATTCCAAGCACTTGACAGGCATGAACTCTTGTAATCTTCGTAACAATGTTTCAACATCACAGCAAATTCATTCTTATTATTATTATCCCCAGTTTACAGATGAAACAGAATCACAGAGCAGTTAAGCATCTTGGGTAAGTTCATACATTTCCTATATGCTAGAGCTGGGACTGAAGACCTGGCAGTCCGGCCCTGGAATTTGGGTTCTTTGGTACTTCATTATATCACCTTTTAGTAATTAACAGAGGCAAGACAACCCTCAAGCGTTCTGACAACACATCCTAGGATATTCATTTAATAAAAACACCCCAAAACAAAACAATGCCAAAAAATGCCTACATTAATCTGGAATCTAATCACTAACTGTATATAAATATAGGACACTTAAAAACAAATTCCATGGTGTATCAAAAGTATGATCCATAAAAGAAATATTGATAAACTGAATTTCCTCAAACCTAAAAACTTTCTCTGTGAAAGACCGTTAATAGGATTTAAAACAAACAAACAAAAAAACTAGACTAAAAAGAAAAAATGTTTTCAAACCACATATCCTACACAAAGAACTCATATCTAGAATATATAAAGAACTCTAAAAACAATAGCTAATCCAATTAGAAAATAGGGAAAAGTAAGAGACATTTCACCAAAGAGGAGATGCAGATAGCAAATAAGCACATAAAACGTTATTCAACATCACCAGCCTTTAGGGAAATGCCAGTTAAGACCATAATGAGATATCACTACATACCTCTGTTCTAACAGTGACAATATAAAAATCTGGCAAGAATATGGAAAAAGTCAGTCTTTTATACATTGCTGGTACAACTGTAAAATGGTACAGCCATACTGGAAAACACTTTGGCAGTTTCTTTAAAAATTAAACATACATAGAAAGACCCAGCAATAGCATAGGACAATTATCCTAGAGAAATGAAAATTTATGGCCACATAAGCTATATACAAATGTTAATATTAGATTTATTTATAATAGCTAAAAACTAGAAACAACCAAAATGTCCTTCAATAGTGAATAATTTGCACAAAAACCTAAGTACATTCATACAAGGGACTACAAAGGACAAACTATTGATACACGCAGCAATTTGGATGGACCTCAAAGACACAATGTTGAGTAAAAAAGGCTAATCTCAAAAGCTCACATATTGTGTGATTCCATGTATGTAATATTCTTGAAAATGGCAAAATGATGGGGAAGAGTGTAATGGTTGCCAGAGGTTGGGAGTGATGGGCATGAGAGGGGTGGGTGTGACTATAAAGGGGAGGCATGAGGGAGATCTTTGTGGCAATGAAATTGTGGTAGTAAGTTACGTGGATCTACATATATGATAAAATGGCAGAACTGTGCACACACATTGTATCACTGTCCATTTTCTTCATATTGTACTGTAAGATATAACCATGGCAAGATACTGGGATAAGGGTAGATAGCACCTCTGTACTATCTTGACAATTTCTGTGAATATATAATTACTTTAAAATTACAAAAAAAGAGAGAAATTATTGGCTATCTTGTCATTATTATTCATTTCATTTAATTACTAATGAAAATAATTTTCTTGTTTAGAGGAATGGGAACACTAAAAATGACCCATTCCAGACATCAAATATTTTAGGCACCTAACAGAAATGAATGCACATGTCCACCAAAGGATATGTACAAGCACGTTCATAGCAGCTATATTCATAAGAGTCTCAAACCAGAAATAACTGAAATGCTTATCATCTGGGAAATGAATAAACTGTGGCATATTCATAGAGCGGAATACAAAAAGGAGGAGGAGACAGTAGAAGAGAAGAAGGAGCAGTGATTTCATCTTGCTCTATATATTAAAACTCCAGTTATATTTTTTATATTGGGACCTGATTATTTATTCATTCATTCATTCATTCATTCATTCATTCATTTTTAAAGATTTTATTTATGTATTCATGAGAGACCCACAGAGAAAGAGGCAGAGACACAGGCAGAGGGAGAAGCAGGCTCCATGCAGAAGCCCGATGTGGGACTCAATCCCGGGACTCAAGGACCACGCCCTGGGCCGAAGGCAGGCGCTAAACCGCTGAGCCACCCAGGGATCCCCTGATTATTTCTTTATTTAATGCTAAACTAGTACTATTTTTTAAAAGATTATTTATTTATTTATTTATTTATTTATTTATTTATTTATTTATTTGAGAGAGAGAACCTGCAAGTGGGGGGGGAGGGAGAGAGAGGGAGAATCCTCAAGCAGACTCTGTGCTGAGCACAGAGCCCAACACAGGACTCAATCCCAGGACCCTGAGATCATAACCTAAACTGAAACCAAG